TCAAGACCCAGCTCAGTTGTCACTTGGAAGCAACCCCTTCCTTCATGTGAGTGAGATGCTCCATGTCTGTTCACCGGCAGACCCTGGGTATCCTTCTGTCTTAACACTTAGGATACATTTGTGATTTTTGTCTGTCTATTTCCTGTACTAGTCATGGACCCTGGAGGACAGGGACTCTGTTCCCTTTATGTCTGTCTTCCCAGTGCTTGACAAATGTTCATCTACACAGAAGAAAAGATAACATGCATTATTTTGCTATAGACAATGGTAATGATGCATGCAGAAATAAGGGGGAAATAATTTGCATATATCTGAGAAAAATATTTCTAGTTCTTTTGTGAGTTCCTTTATATTTCTCTTCTGATGTGAACATTATTTTAATGAAATGATTCCTTCCTTCCTTTCTCTCTCTCTTTTTCTACTGATTTGGAAAGGTCTTGGCAGTTATTCACTTGGAATAAAGATTGAAGTCTTACAAAATAAACAGAGGACAATTAGTGATTTTAAAGTGTGTTAACCCACAAAGATTATTTTCTTTCTCTCCATGCCCATTTGGCAAAATGGTTCTCTGGGACTGTGTAATTATGGATGAATGGCACTGAAATGCTTGAACAATAATTTGTAGGAAATACAATTATGAGTAGAAGTCATTAGTGGGAGTAAATGAATAGTTTGTTGGTTAACAGGTCAATGTTGAAAGCCCAAAGTGGTTAAACATTGTATTAAATTACAAGTTAAGAGCATAGCCCTTTTTCATTAAAGCACATTCATAAATTATTGAGCTTTTTAAACTGTATTTTTATATGGTTTTTGATTTGTGTTACAGAAAGGAAGGGGGCTGTCCAATCTAAGTTTCTTAAGAGTTCTGTGAAGTGAAATGTATGCAATGCTTTCTTCATCAGAGAAGTCGGTTGGTCCACCTTGTGTGGCATTTAAATAATATTTATAAAGTAAGGAATATAATTTTTTGAGTAACAAAGCTAATTGGGTACAGTTAATATATAGTTATTACCAGAGGCCAAGAATTTCGTTATGTGTCCAGTTCTTGGGTTCTGGATTCCAAAGACCCAGTTCCATAGCTTGGTCCTGACATCTCGTTACTGTGTAATCTTGTCTTTGAAGCATCTTAGCTTCCTAATCGGTACCATCTGTTAGGAGAAAAAAAAAACCATGATAGAAAACAGATAATTTTTACTTCAGAGTATAATTACTTAGCATAGGCTGGGTTTATTCTAACTTCTCAATAAAATTTGTGTTGTTTTTTTCTGCTTTTTACATATTGGATATTATATACTCATTTAGGTATGTATCTGTTGAGAGTTTGTGAGTAATTGTCCAGTAGAAAATAATCAAAATAGTTAATTTAAATCCCTATGAGTTGAATGCTGACTGTGAACCTAGGACTGTGTTAGGAATTGTGACATATGTGAAGGAAACATAAGGCAGCAGCCCTGCAGTCAAGGTGCTGTCGAGGTGGGGAGATGAGACGTATGTACTGTACTAATTACAGAATCATTTAGTACTGAAATATGTGGCACTGGCTATAGGTTATATAATTCAGGTCTCCCCAGGCCTTCCTGAACCTTCTCAGCCTGTGGATATTTCAGTCGTGATGATAAAAATTTTACTGCCCGCCTCCCCTGACTCTCGCACAAACTCCAGCTCTTTCCAACACTCCCGCCTGCTTGTTAGAGCTGTTCTCGTGACAGAGTTCATGTGAGTTCAGCAACTAGTCTGTCTGCCATAGCCACCACGAGGCATCTTTCATGCACTTTTCCTCCTATGTTGGTTTTCTGGGTCATTGTCCTCCCTTCAGGAAGGTGCTGGGGGCTGCCCTGCTGCCCCTGCTTCTGGTACCTGCCACGACAATACTGAACACATGGCTGTCAAGGGCGCAGGCTTTCATTGCTGCCCAGGTGGTCAAACCCTCAGGTGTGGGAGTGTGTTATGTTCCATGATGAAGTGTGGTGACCACCTCTCTCTGCCACTTGGGGTCTCGACTGATTGCCTGGATGCCAAAACTTTGGGGTGCTTTTCTTTCCATGTCTCGGTCATGCTTTTTTTCATTCAGTACATATTTATTGAACAACTACTGTATACCCGACACTGTGATAGGCATTGGTACAATGATAGTGAGAAAATATAGGTGTGATTCCTGCTGTCATGTTTAATAAGGGAGACAGAAATTGACAGTAATAGAGTGTGCAGCGTGTTCAGTGCTAGAAAGGAGAGGGACATAGTGATACAACAGATTATGACACAGGGCTTGACCTGGTTAGGAGTTCTCAGCAGCTTCTCTGAGGAATCAGATTGAACATCATTCTGAAGAATGAGGCAGAGGGAGTAGATAAGAGAATCCCAGGCAGAGGAACATCAGGTACAAAAGCCATCTGGAAAGTTCCTTCAGATTCTTTCCTCAGGTTCAGTCATGAGTCCATGTGGTCAGGAGAGAGGACTCATACCTGCGACAGACCCCATGCCTTCTCTCTCATCCTCTTTTTCTCTCTTCTGCTCCGTTGTGTAAGCTTCTCCCATGCAAAGCAATGCAAATGGCCCACAAACTAGCCAGACATGCTTGGGGGTGCCTAATTCCCAGATGTGCACAGACTTTTAGCTCAAGGAGGAACCCATATAACCACAAGGTAGGCAGGAGGAGGTAGACATCAGCATGGTCTGAAGTGTTCCCTGAAATCCGATGGCACAGGTGGGACTTGAGCTGTGTTTTGGAAGAATAAGTGAGGGGAAGAAGGCTGGGGAACACAGATGGAAGGGACAGAATAGGCAAAGGGATAGAGGGAGGAATGATTCTGTTAAAAGAGAAGAGATAAAGAGACTGGGCTTCCTGGGATGGAGAATTTACTAAGGACTCAGAGACCATAAAGTAGCGTCAGATTATGGGGAGTCTCAAAAGTCAGGAAGGGAATTTGGGGCTTTGTTTCTGAGTACTGTAGGCAGATACTGCAGCTTAATGAACAAAGAAGGGATGTAATTAAAATAACTCAGCAAAGTTTAAAAAAAGAACAGTGCAGAATGGTCAGAAGAATAAAATCTGTTTGGAGAGGGTCTAGCTCAGGTGATTATTAAAATTATTTTCACATTCTTGAGTTTGAGATCATGATAACTCATCCAATTGTCAATATCGACTATGTAGCTAGAAATATGAGGCTGGCCCTTGTGAAATACCCAGGCTTAATGTTTTAGTCATACACACAGAGATGTTATTTTTGCAAGGAAAGTGAATAAGTTATGAGACAATTTTACTGCTTTCTAGAGGCTCTGTCATCATTTGAAAGGACATAAGTTTAGGTTAACAGTTAAAAATTCACTTCAAAGATTCTCTGTGATTTTTTTCGTTTGTTCCGACTTGGCTGTTATTTATAACAATGATTAGTTGAGAAATATCTTTGTTGCCCCTACTCTTGGTTCTGCCACATGTAGCTTGCGTGTTGATAGGTACATAGTCGGCGTTTGTTGCCTGTTGATTAAGAATTGTGAACAACTGATCACAGAATTTAATAGCATTTTATCTTTGATAAACATTTTCCATGCTTGGTAGAGATTTTTCTGTGCAGACATTCAAGAACAGATCATAGAAATTCACATATATATGCATATACATATAAATAGACTTTATTTCATTTTTTTGTTCCTAAAGGTTAAAACATACAAACAAGGAATAAAATTAAAATTATTTTCTTTTGGGATGATTTATGCCTTAATTTTCACCTGCCCTATAATTAGAAATTTTGAACTCTGTAAATTTTTTTAAGATAAAATTATAGCCCAAGTAAACTTCAGAAATTACATCATTAACCCAGAGACCTTTCTAAGCCTGGAACAACATTATTGGTACAAGTGCCTGCACACACACAGACAAATAAATAAAGAGAGAGGTTTAAAATAATTTGAAAGTGATTTATTGTCGACCACCTCTGTAGTTAGAGATTCAAGTATTATTACTTTACTTTTGTGCAGCAAGGGAGGACAGTAAGTTGCTGTGGGCTAAAGGTAAATTATGATCTATTGCAAAGGAGGAAGGAAATGTACTGAGAAAGAAGAAGGAGTTGGGAGTAAGCCATGTGTTTTCTGAAGTATTGCTTCAGATAATGGCTTGAAAAAAATCTTTGCTTTGACTCTTGCTGGAAAAGCCAGGGTAAACTGTGAGACAGTCTACCGTCTTGAATCTTTGTTAATTAAGGAGTAGCGTACTGTATGGGGCGGGGGCTGGGACAAGATGGATGCACTGGAGCCTAATGCAAACCAAGATATCTATACCCTTCTTCAACTTTGCTTAGCAGTCCTATCTTGGATACATCCAGTTTAGAGTTTGAAGGGATCATTTAATACACCAAGATTTAGGACAGCCAATCAGAGGTAATTTTGATTTTGGACTCTATTAACTCTATATGTAAAGTGAGTTGAAATCTTCATATTAGAAATTCGTTATGGACTTCTATATCAGAGAGTCTAATAGCCTTTTGTTTTTATTTGGAATAAGAAAGAGGTGGTAAAATTTCATCCTTAAAACAGGGTGATGCAGGGAAGGAAGACAAAAGACTAAAATATATTGAAGGGCTATCATATGGCAAGGTCCAAGCTAGATGTTTCATAAATATTATCTCTTTTAATCCTCCTAAAGACTTATGGGGAAAGGCCTTGCTACCTCTGCTTTGTAAATGAGGCAACTGAAGCCCACTCTTGAGTACATCACCCAAAAAAACATGGTTAGAAGATGGTAAAACTGTGATTCGATTGTAAGTTTAGTCTGACTCCAATTCCTGTGTTTTTCATACCATGCCCTGTTCAATCCTGCATTACTTTTATTGCACCATGTGACAGATGAGAAAACTAATATCCAAAAACGTGAAGGCACTGGTGCTTATCAAGCCTGAAGCTTTCTTTCCCGGATTCTTCTTTCTCAGGATTCTTTGGCTGGAGAGCATCACATTTATATTAACTATTAAAATGTCTAAAGGCAAGTTTCCCTTGGACTGCTTTAGGTTTGCTACCAGAAGTAACTGTCACCCATCTTCGAGCAGCTGCCTATGCCCGTGACACAGTGTTGGCTCTAGAAGATGCTGTGGACTGGCACCCTGGGGATGAAGTTGTCATCATCAGTGGGATAGGTGTCGAAGGTTCCAAACCCACAGAAGAGGTTGTCATCGTGGAAACTGTGCACGATGCAGACCTCCATCTGAGGTCGCCCTTGAGGTACTGAGTGTCAGCTTGGCTCCCTTTGGATGGAAGAGGATGAGGTCTTACCTGTGTCTGGGGTGTCTGGACATTTGTTTGTCTTTCAATGATATATTTTCATATTAAATAATGCCAGACTTTTTGACAAGAAAATTACAAGGCATGAAATATTTTGAAGGTTTAGACTGCTTAAATAAGTCTTTCTTGTAAGACTCTAGAACTTCCATCTTATAGTAGGTGGTCAGTGCAATAATCTGCATAGTTCCTAATTTTCACATCCTTGTGCCCGCAGTTCACTCTTCTGTATCTGGGTTTTTAAAGAAATAGACCCCCAAATGGAGAATTACACTAATCTAGTGGCTTGCTATTCCTAATAAGATTCAGAGTGATATTTTCAGATATGTCTTTTTCTTTTTTCAGGTATTCTCACAACTTCACGGAGAATTGGGTGGCTGGAGAGCACTATATTCTGAAGGTCACAGTGGCCCTCCTCAGCAGGAGTATTACCATACGAGGAAATCTCACTAACGAGAGGATGAAGTTCCTTGCTTCATGCCAGGAGGCCAATGCTTCAGAAGGTAGAGAAGTATTTTGTTGGGAAGTCGAATGAGTAAAAAAGAATATTCTTACCGTCAAATGATATGTGGTATTGTCGACTTCTTTCAAAATAGAAAAACCTTTAATCTTTGCATGTCCGTAATACTCTGTAGTTTTCAGAATGCTCTTGATAAATTGTCATTTCATCTCCTGCCCTCAACAACCTTGTGAAAGAGATAGATAGTAGTATCCACTTGAGAAATTAATTATTTCTCTGGGGAAAAAAATTCCTGTTAAATAATTAAATCTAGAGAGTTGAATTAAATTTCCAAGTTAGAGGTTATAATGATGTCTTAACTCTGATTCCAAGCCCCTTCTAAAATTCTCAGAAAAACTGTTTAAGGCCAGAGTCATGGGCACAGGCAGCACATTCTTACTGACTAGACTTGTAGGGCTCTTCCCTACCCCCAACTCCCACTTTTGGAGTTTGTTTTCTGAGTGAACCACCACATACTTTAAGTAAGTGGTTGAAAAAGTCAATTTATCTTCTCGAAGAATAACAGGCACTGAATCACACTGATGTGCCTATTAAACATCTATTTCAGGGATGGTTAGTTTAGTAGGTTATGTTTTGGTTTCCCAGGCTGTAGATTATGAGGCTTTCACATGTTGTGAAGACATCATTTGTCAACTTTGGTCCAAGATGGTGTGGGTGTCAAGGATGACTCCCAGGCATGAGCTCTGGATGGATGATGAGGCTATTTATTGAGATGGGAAGAGGAACAGGTTTTGGGGTGGGAGAGTGGAGATCACGAGTTTAATTTTGTACGTGTCAACACTGAGATGCCAGGCCAGCATCTGAGTAGATGTGTCTGTTACTGTCTGAAGCCTGGAAGAAATGTCAAGGCTGGAGTTAAAGATTTGAGTCATGTCTACATAGAGATGCATGTGGGTATAATGTTGGGATGTGGTTGGGTGAGAGGGACCTTGACCCTACTCTCTACAACCCCAGCCATCTAGCTCACAATATGTCATTGTGAAAAATGTTTGGATACAGTGGGTTCAAATCCAGTGACTGTCAACTTTAACAATTCTGCTGAAATCAGATCTTCAATCTATTCAAATTCTTTTGGTAGTTCTCATATAGGTATTTTGAGATCATATTGTGCAAAACATTGCATTTGATTATGCTGCAAGTGAGACCATGCTTCAAGGGTTTGGGCCATTATAAATCTTTTGGCTCCTAATAGAAAAAAATCCCTGATTTCACCACAACTCTTAAATGTTATTACAAAATTCTCAAAATAAAACAAAATTCATAGAACTTTATTAAAAAAATGATATGTCACTTACCTCTTCTTTGTGTGAGGCTGAAGTGTGGGCACGAGGTAGCCAAATATAATAATAAACCTGACTGCTTGAAAACATTATGGATCACTGGCATAAGTAATCAAAATTGTGATAAAGCATACAAATATAAAACTCTTCTTCATTCACCTCTTATATATTCATTCTCTGGGTGTTAGCAAATGATTGAATCCTGAAATTTACTGTGGGTTATTTACTGTGGAATGATACATAATTTTGTGTTAGTGACACTTCTCTGGTTTATTAACATGGATAATAAAGAATTAATTCAGGTGATGATTTCTTCTCCATTCTGAGGTTAGTTCACACCACCAAATGCCACGTGTCCACAGAAAGTGTCCTGGATCCTGAGGTCACAACACTCTGTAGCTATAGTAATTGTGTGCATTATGTTCATGAAGTTTGCTGTTCTTGGCTGGGAAGGAGGCATTGGTGTGGGGGCTGCTCAGTCACTTCTCTGGAGCCTTTTACCATTTCTGCAGTAGCTAAGCCCCCAGACTATAAGGCAGCAAAGTAAAGGGGAAGCCCCATTGGGCAGCTTAAGACCAAAAAGAGCAGTGATTATATTCAGCGCTCACATCTCTTCCCTACAATTATCAACCACGAGAAGGTCATTTTATTGCACGCTCCCTCCAGGGGATCTTTTGGATTGAAAGAAGCATCTATTTAGCTTGGGTTTGTGGGCTAGAGTCAGCCTCTTTTTGACAGTAATTAAGGCGATTGATTTGGGGGCTTCTGGAAATAATACAGTGAAGGCAACATCATGTCCTAGTTATTGGATGTTTTAATTAATAATCCAAAGAGGAGAATCAAAGTAAAAGGGAAGTAAGATTATTAAATGAAATAAACAATAATGGTTTGTCCTTTGTGCTGACAGTGCCTTTCAAACTGGATTTGTCTAGAAGCACATTGTACATGCTTCAGGTCCCCTGACTTTATTCTGTGTTTCAGGTAATTTGCAGAATTGTTTATATTCCAAGAGTGAGAAGATGCTGGGGTCCAGGGATCTGGGGGCCAGAGTCATCATTCAGTCCTTCCCAGAGGAGCCCAGCCAAGTCCAGTTGAAGGGAGTGCAATTCCGGGACTTGGGGCAAGCCTTCCATAAGCATCTGAGCTCGCTGACTCTGGTGGGAGCTATGAAAGGTAAGGGGGTCCAGGCCTATGACTTCTCATTTTTCTTTCTTCTTCCATTTTCAAGGCACTACATGTAGGGGATCATGATAGGTGATTATGTTGGATGTGGGGCGTTTAGAGATGGGTAATTATACTCTAGATTAGTGGTTCTCAAACTCAGTACACTTAAAAAGTCACTTGGGGAGCTTACTAAATTCAGAGTTATAGAGCCTGCCTTGACAAATTCTAGTCTAACGTGGGCCTAGGGGTCTGAATTTTTAACAAGCAAATCTTATGATTCTGGAACAAGTAGTCTGAGGAGCACACTTTGAGAAACATCACTATAGGTACAACAGACGTGGAGTGAACCACACAAATCCGTGTTTTGAATCCTGCCTCTACCATTTACTAGCTTCTAACCAGTGCTGTGGGAGTCCAGGCACAGCAGAGAGCACTTCTATGTTAGGTTGTCCTAACTCAGAGGAATCTTCTGTCTGGGAAAATGGGGCAGAATGGGCTGAGAATGGGCTCCATGAGAACATGGAGCAGGCAGAGCGTGTTGATCTTGGCCAGAGCTGAAGAGATAGGATGGGAGCAGGAAACACCAAACGCAGGTCAGAATACCTAGGTGAAAAACAAGATCAGGAACAGAAAAGAAGAATATGACCAGATGTGCTGATAAAGGTCTGAAAACAAAGTTGGAGAGACGTAGAAACATCCAGGCAAAGACCCTATACCAGAAGCTGACATGCAGAGAGTCAGATAATTGGGGTCCAGATGCTAGGTAATGAGGACAGTGGCTCCATTTCTGAGTTGTCCTGCCCATTGCTCAGCACCTCCCGCAACCACACATTCAAGCTTTGCCTTCCTAGAAAGGGGTGGTGCTCCAGGGGTGATGCCTGGCAGGATATCAGGGCATACTTGGTTCAGGTGGCCCTTGATTGATGCTAGGATTTCAGCAGGTAATGACAGAGTAATCCTTGAGGTCATTGAGAGCAGGATCCTGGCTAGCTAACTACAGCATTTTTTCTTATTTCAAATTGTCTGCATGCTAAGGATGTCTATTTATCCTAATTTTTCAGATCTCTTCCAGATTATTTATTTTTGACATTCATGTAGGGGGATAGTTCCTAACATGGCTCCTTTCCTAGTATATTGGGACAATCAGTATCTTTGTGCCCTTTTCTCTGGTTCTTTGGTCTCCTGGTGCTTATAATGCTGCAGAATATTTGATGTGGGGGCCAGCTCCAGTATAAGTGAGGGTAGCAGTCATATATAAGTTATCAATTGAACATAATCAAAATCCTCCCTTGCACAAAATTCACCTCATCTGCCTCCCCAACCTCTGCTTCAGAGTGGCCGCACTTTTATCTATTTTTATATGTTAGGTTTTATTTGAAAAAAGGTTCAGTGCTTATAAAAAGGGTTTGAAAACCACTAAGTTAATACGTTATCCCCTGTAGGTCTCTGTTAAAATGCAAATGTGTTTCCTGGGAGGGGGTAACACATTAACCCAGAGGTTAGAAACTTCAAGCATGCTTGCCAAAGAATCTTTTATTGTTTCATGCCCTAAAGGCCCTCATGCCCTGTGTGGCCAATTGCCTGCAGCCACAGGAGTTAGAGGATGGAATCTTTGCAACTTTTAAAGGTTTACCAATCCCTGAACTCCACTCATAATAGCTCTATAAATACATTAGTAGTTATCAATTGTTCAGATTGGCAGGCATACACTGATGGAGTGATGTGATGGAGATCTGGAGTCAGGAAAAGTCTTCAGCAGGCAGTGAGATATGGAGAAGTGGATATGGATGGGTTCATTTATTGGGTGGATCGTTGGTGAGTAATGTAAGGACATCTGGTACTAGGGGAGCTGAGATCAAGGGGGAATGTGGAAGCCCAGTATCTACAGCAACATTATAGTTGAGAATTTTCTGCATAGTCCCAATTTTACAGTCAAAGTATTCCATAAACCAAAGTAGTTTTTCCTGTACCCTAAACATTTGACAACCATGCAATATCTCTCATTACCTGGAAATAATACAGAACTTCTTTTTCAGGCTTTATAGTTTAATTATCCACATAATAAATTTTAATTATTTTAATGTAAGTTTTCTACACTTGTGAAGTGCAGAATTTACTTAGTTTTGTTCATCTTTATATCTCTAGCACAATGCACAATTCCTGAAAGATATGATTGATACTTAGTAAATATTTATTCATTGATTGATCAAGTCCACATAACTTGATTTGGGGGTCATAAAATATGCTTAGGAGCCGGTATAATGATTTTTCTAAATGTCAATTTCCTTTTTCTAAATGTCTGCCATATTGTGATGAAAGTTGATACCAAAGACGGTGGCCAATTGGAAATCTTGACAGCCATGCTTTCTTTTGTGGTTTGGCCGTACTTTCTCTTTTCTCAGATGGTTTTCTTGTCTAGCCCTTGAGCCTTGTATTCCACTCTGCTTATCTTTGGTATCTTTGAGGTGCATTGGCCTGAGTGACCTGTTTTCTTGATTTGATTTCTGCTTCCTACTCCTCATTTCCTGAGTTTCCTTGTTGTGTGGGAGAATATTCTTAGTTATACTATGGCTTCCTTTGGAGATGATCAACAGCATCTGAGGAGCCTTTGAGATTCACTTCAAATTTTTACCTCACTCTTTCTTGTTCAGATTCCTATGTACACGGCTGCACAGTGTGGGGCTCCTTCAGCAGAGGCCTCAGCATGTCCGGAACCTTGGGCCTGAAGGTGAACAGTAACGTGTTCTACGATGTTTTAGGCCATGCCCTGCTCGTGGGTGAGTGAGGAGCTGGTTATATTTTGGCATTCTTGAGTAGGACGCATAGTTTTTTCAAAAGGAATTGTCCCAAAATTTGAATTCCCAATTTATAAAAACTTTAGCCTCTGATCATTAGAAATAGGCTATAGTTAAAAATTCTGAATTTAAATTCAATCATCACTAATTAGCTTACTAAACTTTACCGACAGGAAACTGATCTTTTAAAGGTGACGTTTCAGTTCAGGTTAATAAATGTACAATGGGAGATTTTAAAATTTATACTCAGCAATTTTCACAATTGAAAGTCACATAAATATGTCTCTGTGCAGTCTCATAGATTGTCAAACCTGAATGTTGGCCAAGTAGTTAAAAATCTTGAATTCTGTTCTTAGCTGCTCCTGTGGCTTGCTGAAGAAGTCCACATTTCAGAATCTTCTAATGGGTCACCTGTGTCCACTTCTGTCTTCTAAGTTCATTCCCCTTGCAGAACCCAGAATTGTCCTTAAAAATCTCAAGTTTCATCATATCACTGCTTTCCTCAAGACTCTTTAAGAGTTTCTTATTGCTCTTATACATTTCTTTACCCGACTTAAAAGACTCCATCAGATATTTCGCCTTTATTAACCTTTGTAAACTTGTCTTGCTCTTTTTGTCTCCCTCTGCACTCTAGCTACACTGACTTATTTTATTTTAGTTCTTTCAAAAGACTACACTTTCTCCTGCCTCAGGTCCTTTGTACAAGCTCTTTCCCTCTGTTCATACCACTCACTCTCCTCCTGTAAGATTCTCTCCCCACACTCCCAAGTCAAGTTCCTCTGTTTAAGCTCTTTAGCACTAATCGTTATTCTTTGCTTTAAAATTGTATATCATGTTTCTGATCATTTGATTAATGTCTGTTTTTACCACCAGATTTCATGTGAACATTGTTTCCTTAGCATTTAGCATATTAACTAGTGCGTTGTGGGTATATTTGTTGAAAGAAATGAATAAGTTAATGAACACAGGGTCTTTGGTTATATCAGAATAAAAAAGCAAATCAGAAGTTTTCTCTGAAAGTAATACTATAACTGTATTTGTTAAACAGTGTTTTATATTTAAATTAATTCTGTGATATCATCAGTGGAAACATGTATGTGTTTCATTTAGGAACGATCTCTTGAGATAAAAATCTGTAAATGTTCTAATGCTGAGAGGGAATCTGTTAGTGAGAAAATATGGATCATATGAACTTGCTTAAAGCAAACCAGCTCTGGAAGGCAAAGAGCTAAAGACAGTAGACGTGATCAGGTGCAGGAAAATCTTTTGACTGGAAAAAGACGGCTACAGGCAGTCAAACTGACAGATGGAGAAATGACTTTGTTAATTCCTACTTTTGTCTGCGTAAGGGGAAAGTTTGCTGAAACCTGGAGCAGAAATTCAGGGAGGTACCCAAATAATTTAGCAGAAAACAGTTATATAGAATAGACATTAACTAGGCAAGGATGAAAACCTGCAGGAGGAATTGAGCCTTTAGTGCTTGGATGTTGTGAATTGGAGGCTCTTGATGTCTGTTATCCTGCAGATGAGGGAATTAGAATATTTGTTTATTGGTGGATTATAAAGTACTCAACTTCACGCAAAACGAATTTGCAAGCCAAGACTCATGAAACGATATGGGAAGCCCAGATACCTAAAGACCTAGAAAGGAGGGGGTCTGTGGGGCTGCTCTCTGTGGACGCCACCTAAGTGGCTACTCTCTCTCCGAAGCTTGGCTCATGCTCTTATATTTTCTCCTATTCCAAACCTCGGGGGTTTGGGTGTGAGGGTCCCAGGCACTGTCCAGCCTGTTCCTCCAGGACATTCCAGATCTTCCAGGAGAAGAAGGGGGCGTGCAGAGAGCTGGTGGCCAATTTGAACAGCGAGGGATGGGCTGGAGCTGACACAAGGGGGTGTGGTATTTGCCTATGGAGACAGTCGCTTGGACTCTTCCTGAGAAGTAAAATAGTACATCTATTTCTTTGTTTATTTTTTTTTTAATTTAAAATGAACTTCTGATCCATGATACTGTAGAGCTAAAAAGTCCATATAATCTGTATCTCCTTGTCAGGTTCGTAGATAAAAATACAAAAACAGGGGCTGGCCCGGTGTGCATACGTGTGCTGCTTCAGCAGCCCGGGGTTCGCCTTCGGATTCTAGGCGCGGACCTACTTACTGCTCACCAAACCATGCTGAGGCGGCTTCCCATGTAGAGCAACTAGAAGGATATGCAATTATGACGTGCAAGTATCTACTGGGGCTTTGGGGAGAAAAAAGGAAAAAAGGAAGAAGATTGGTAACAGGTGTTAGCTCAGGGCCAATCTTGCTAAAAAAACAATACAAAAACAAAATCAAAACAAGCCACACCCAAAAGAAGAAATAGTGTTACAGTGTCCCTCATTTTCCCGGGTGGCATGAAATGTGCTGAAGTAACACCATCTTTTGTTCTCAGGTACATACATGGAGATCAGATATATTCCTGAAAGAAAAAATGGTAAATATGTAGATTGGTTTTAAATCTATTACAATCCATTCTAGTTGTCATATATTTTATGGGCAAATGTAATGGCAGAACGTTAGATATCTTAAATTTGTTGAACATACTAAATGTTTTATATATATATACACACACACATGTACATGCGTTATGTGGAATATAATGAGTATTAGTAGAAATAAGAGTGTTGAGTTGGCTAAATTTTAACTATGTCTGTGAATCCCCTGGGTTTGATTGATCTTTTCTTCAATTAGACTGGTCAGAACAGGGAAGTACAATAAGAAACAATGTGATCATCAGTGTTTCTGGCGTCGAGGGACTCTCCAGTGCAGAAGTGTTGACACCGGCTGGTATCTACATCCGCAATCCCACCATTGTTGCAGAGGTAAGGTCTGCAGCTCTGTCGGGCATAACGTCCACTGCAGAAGTTATTTGGAGTGGCGGCCTCAGTGGTGTGGTGTAAAATGTTTACCTGCTGTATACTGGTGTCAAGAAACTACTTTATGCTACTGTGTTAAACCAGTGCTTTAGGATAAATGTAATCATTTCTCTCAGAATTCCTGTGAACACTCTTTGAAGCAGTATCTATATGGAGCAAAACAAAGCAGATATTGATTATTTTCTGGTCTTTTAGATTAATGCAAACTAATCTTCCTGAGCTATCCACTGTGGTTGCTGGTTTTTATCTCAGTTCCAATAATAATTACTTGTTAAATCTTCACGATCTTCCTACATTCATGCGGTCATATTGCTGCCCTTTAAGAGTGCTCAGAACTGGGGTCAGCAAAGTCATGAGGTGCATGAGATCATGTCAGGTTCCAGGACGAGTGAAGTACATTCCGATGGCCTTGATATTTTATCCCATCATTTAGTACAACTTAATATTACTTTTTCTTGGTAAATTTCTCTCTAAACAACTTAAGAGATTAATTTTTGTGGCAGAGTTTAGCCATAGACCCATGAATGAGAAATTGCATCAGAGTAGTGGGAAGGCCATTCGGTTTCCCCTTTTCCAATGATTTTATCCCCTGGATCATCTACCAAAGGGTTAAGGGCCTCACTCTTCCAGAACACCCCTCAGAGCATTTACTGTGTCATGGCAATTATGCCAAGTTTCTGAGGAATTGCGAGAATGAGCTTCCTCGTCTCTCTCTCATTGTCTGTTTTTAATTACTTTCAGCTGAATAACCCCTAATAAAAGTCATGGTTATCTCCTCAACCCTCCTCCAGACTCTTAATTGCGTTTATTCCAAGCACAGCACTTACACACCATTTTAGGTGCCTAATGGGGGCAGCTAATATGCCAGTGAGGAAAGGAGGCAGAACTGCGAGGACTGAAGGCGACCAAACTCTAGACCCAGAACCAGGAAAGCGACATTTAACTTGTTGCTACCTCCAGGGCTTGTTGCACAGCTATGCCAGAAAGCTTTGGGGCCTAAAGAACTATGTTTTGCGTACTTTCTTGGGTAGCATAATCTTGACTAGGTCGAAATACCCAAAGGAAAGTAGACCATCAGTGTTGCCCAGCTCATCCTCCTGCATGCGACGGGAATGTATCTAAATCCCGCATTGAATGCCAGGGTTGCTGTCTCTCTGACTGCTTCACTGGGTAGCACATTGTCTCCTTGACGAGTGTCCTGGCCGCTAGTCAACTGGAAGAAGAGCTGAGCTGGCTATAGGTGCAGAGAACCAGAGACCATCTAAAAAGCTGATATGTCACCTGAGCCTTTGCGGACTGACCTGCAGAACAATACTGCCAGCAATGGAAAAACTGAGTCCAAAATAAGCTGTTGTTCCCCGTTAGATGCCTTGCATTTCCATTCACTTCCTTCCTTCCCCTTATATCCACTTTACAAATTGAAAAAAAAAGAAGTACAATGCATGTGTTTTGAGACAGGTTTTAGTTTAAGCTGGTAATGTAGATTCATTAAATATATTCATTGGGTATATTCTTGACATTTTCATCTTCAATGACCTTAAAATTCTGTAAATTCTTTTCATTAGCTTATTAGCTTTTAGTCGCTAGTGCAGTGTCTGAAACATAGTAGTTGCTCACTAAAAATTAATTGAACACAGTGAATGAATGAATGTTGGTATAATTCTATAACCAAAGAATGGGAGGAAGAAAGAGAAAAGTAAAGAATAGATTCCTAGATTCCACAATCATTTTGATGACCAAAAAATAAGATGTTTAGTCTGTGGCAGCATTTAGATCCCATGGGACTCATCTCTCAGTGTTCAGTCGTGCACAGTCCAGTCCAATTTTTCAACTGTGCTGCTGGTGTTCTGCTATGCTGTCTCTTACATATTCTATTGTCTGGAATGTGCCACAACTAAGGACATAGGTGATAACTGGGCATGTATGGCAAAACCTAAAAATTGTGAAATTCTTTCGACATTTAGGGCCAATGAAGGTCATTTCAGTCACTGAGTGAACAGTAAGTTAGTGTTTATTAAATGTGTCCTATGTAGATGATACATGGTGTACTTTGAAAAATATATTTTGGAAATACATCATTATTCCAAAGGGGTAGTAAGGAGGCTACAACAACAATGATGTGTGGAGAGTGTGTGTGTGTGTGTGTGTGTGTGTGTGTGTGTAACATGTGGAACAGAAGGAGATGTGGTACAAAACCTGCCCTCTTCTAGGGTGGTTCTGATGTTGGAGAGACAGGCATCCCTTTACTCTGAGGAACTGTTTCGTGGGTGGTGGCTTCTATATCCTGCTATGTGAGTGCTTCAGAGGCAGACCACCCCTTAAGGGAATGCAGGCAAGACTTGTGTGTGCTGAGTTTTGTGACCTTTCTCCTGACTTGCTTTTCAGTTTTCTTGCAGTCTGGCAAAATATTTTTTAAAAGTCACTGTATTAGTGTGATTAATTTAGATTTTTTCATTTTTGTTTTCTTAAACTTTTAATTCTGAAATGACTTTAGACTCAGAAGAAGTTGCAAAAATGTAACAGAGAGTTCCTGTGGGCTCACTCCCCCAATGCCCCCCATGACAACGTAACCATAACTGTCACCATAGAGCAGTAGCAAAACCAGGAAATTGACATTGGGACAAAGCTATTAACTAAACTAAAGCCCATATTAGGCTAGAAGAAGGTGACCTAATCCTGGTGGCCGACAACCAACTCTGAAGGCCTAAACCCTCCCTCCCACGTACACGAGTCTGACTGTGAAATCCCTGGTGTGGCAGGCAGTCAGGGAAGAAACGGAGTTGATCTGTAAGTCTCCGCAGTGATTTGTGGTTGTGTATTATTCCCGAATGGCCCTGACCCAGAGCCTAGGATCACATGCTCTGCCCCAGCGCACGGAGTTCACCTGGGCTTCCAGTCAGCCATCTTTACAGTTCACTCACCGTCAACCCTGCGTGGTACAAGGGCATTTCAGGTGTGAGATTTTTGTTTTAGTTTTCGTAGCCACAAGTGGTCTGCCTGCCTCCCTGTTGAGGCTGCAGCTCAGCCAAGTCCAGGGCAGTTTCTCTGAGAAGCAAAGCCTGAGCTTTGTGCTTTCTTGCTGGTGAGGACTCAAGTGTGATGTTCCTGTGACTGTCCAAGGAACTTGCGGTATTCCTTGTATACTCCTTAGAGAGGTCTTTGCCATGCTTTTTAAAAATGCGGTGGTGGCTCTTCCGTGCATCACCAGTAGCATTTAGAGCACTCCATTTGCAGGTTTTCTTCCCTCAACCCTCCGGCGTCTGAGTCTCTGACTCCTTTGATGGAGATTGCTTGTTATCTGTTCAGAGGCTCCATCTTCCCAGTAGACAAATCCTGTGTCAACCTCAGGCTGGAAAGTCTTTGTATGCCATGTTTATGTAGACACTGGAAATTTCCTATGACCAGACTCCTGTTTAGGATAGTCTGTGGAAAAACCCTGAAGACGAGCCCTTTGGAAACATCCATTTAATTTGAAGGGAATTTGTTCTGGTTTGTGAATCAATTTTGTAAGGAATTCTGTGTTTAAAGGCCAATTTCAGTTCTCTAGCTCTCCCCACTCAATAGCTAATGTATATTTAAGAGCTGCCTGAAGGGTTAACTCACTTTTTTCTACTGACTACAGATGCACATCTCAAGGAGCTGGCTTACTTGGGCAGTTAATTTCTCTCTGGAATTTCTCTTGCTTGAATGTCCATAATACATTGACTTCCGCAAAGAATTGATTTCCACACAAAATTCCCTGCTTGCCTTAAACCCTTCCCCACAAGCCGCCGGCTGCCTGCATAAATATGTGGTGTTTCCTCATGAATCATTTGTAGCATACTCAATTGGAATGGAGAGTAAAACGGGCTGGAAAGTAATGTGATCCAACTGCTCAAGTGCTTCTTTTATAAGAAAAGTGAGCCTTATCGGCTAACAGAAGACCAAAGTTGCACTCTCCTTCCCCACTATAAATGCACTTGGAAAGCCTTTATATATGATCCCCTATATGCTTCACAAACACTAATGACACTAGGGCAGGTGATTCAACAAATCTATTCATTCGCTCCAAATACATGTTCTCTGAGCACCTATTTGGCAAAGGTGATGAATAAAGATATAGCCCTTGGAATATATCCTTGAAATATTTGGATCTTTCCTCTTCTGGTAGAGTCTTGGTAATAAACTGGCATTTCATTGGTAATGAAATAGAGGTATACATCCAAGTGAGATGATCGCTTCTAGCCTTGAGCGCACCTCTCTCATTGTTTGTATACTTGCAGAAAAGGTGGGTGTTTAAGAAGCCCCCATTCCTTAACCCTCGATTCTTATATACTCATAGCCTTTCCCATGGCTTGTAGGTATGGTAGAGACATAGCCACTCAACGCAGGCTATGTGGAAGGTGAAACTTCACATGTACTTTCCTGAGGAGGGTTCCAGTTGTGTAATCAGAACTGAGAATCAACAGCATGTGACTTCCTTGTGTTTCTATGGGGGCTGAAGAGATGTCTTGGGCACCTGTATTTGCCAACCCAGTGACAGTGATTCTTCCTGAAGCCGAGAATCCTGAGTGCATGTCCTGTTTTCTAGCACGAGGGAAGAATTGGGATAACTGATTTATTGCTAATAAATGTTCTTTTGGGGAATGCCTAATGCCAGATTTGATAGCTTAAGAAGATATAAATACCTTCCTAGTAAAGACTATCAAAGTATTCTTATTGTGATTAACCATGTTTTTATATTTAGGTTGGTCTTTCCATCAAAATTTGGAGATGGAATACTGGAAAGTGAGCATGGGTTATTTTGACAACTCATAGCTCCAGTCTAGACTGTAGACCAGGGTTTCTCAATTGTGGTGGGATTCACATTTTGGGCCATTTAATTCTTTGCTGTGAGAGCCTGGTCTCTACCCACTTAATGCCAGTAGCACCTCCTTCCCCCAAGTTGTGACAACAAAAAATGTCTCCAGTGATTTCCAAATGCTCCCTGGGGAACAAAATCATCCTTGATTAACAATCACAGCTCTAGACTATACCACCCCAAGATGAGTGGAGTCTTAGAGACGGCACGGGTTCCCTGAAATCATGTTAGCGTCTTGAATAGTAATTCAACTTCATATTCAATGATATCCTAAAATCACTTTTGCGGAGTACCGCATGGTAGGTAAGACGTGATTAGACCATTAAGTGGCCTCAGGAAATGCTCAGAATCCAAAATAATGAAGTGTGGTAGAAAATGGCCGCTAGTCCACAAAGAAAGAAAACGTTCTGTAACTAAATGAAAAAGGAGGAATGGCTGGCTAATTACAAATACCCAGGATGAGAGAGCCTTCGGGGCCCACAGTGAATAACAAGCTAAAGTGGGGGAAACAACACCTACGATTCTGTCAGCATGTGCTGGCTCCCCTGATGAAGTCCTTGCTGCTGTGTGCTGGCCAGGCTTCCAGTCTCAGGGTGAACTCTGGCCTTCGCTCACACTTCCCAGAAGACCTGCAGGGACTGGGGCATTGGGAAATTGGTTCCTCCTCTCACACAGGTGAGAGTTGGGTCTTGCTGGTTTTAAAACAACCTATTTCAGTTTTTCTTCCATCTTGATTGCTTGGTTCCGTGTGCTCGCGCGTGTGCGTGTGCATGTGTGTTTCGAGTGGAACATGTGGCACACCCAGAGAGAAACAGGCTCTTTAACGTCCCTGTTTATAGGGAGGATGGCTATGTTACGACTGCCAGTGGGTCGCCCAGGTTCAGAGAGCTTCTTTTAATTGTACCTGAAGTCCTTTCATGTAAGAATTAGAGTCAAGAAAATATTAATCTACAATGAGTGAAACTATGGGATGAAGTGAGTTGACCCAAACTACGGATAAACAAGGAACATCCACAACGAAAAGGGTCTGACTGGAGTCTTCCCTTTCAATCCTTCCTTACTTAGAATGCAGTGAAAAGCCTTGAGCTGTGTAAAAGGCTGTAAGAAAGAGCTCCATGCTTGAGCAGGTCAGAACTTCCTCTTTCAATTCTAACCCTTTTCTATGTCACATCCCAACATCCATATCCCTCACTGCCTACATTGATATTAAATAACAATGGCGGACACTCTCAGTCTTTTCCTCTGTTGTTACTCAAAAATCTCATGTAGCCAGTCCTCATTAACTTTCTGTCTAAGCCTTGATAACGCTCAATGCCTATAATGCTAGAGTATCAGAACTTTCATCCTCCTTAAACATACTCTTCAAAATGCCGTGTCTTTTCCTACCTGCTAGTGGGAATTGGCCCACCTCCTTACCCACGTGGGTCTCTGCACACCCTAAGCTAAGCATGTTTTTTTCCATATGATGGGGTTGGAAGGGATTTTATATTGTCTGGGATTTTGGTGTGAAAAGAGCAACTCTTTAGTTAAATCTGACTTGAAAACTTCTTCTCAATTTTGAGGAAACCTATATTTATGTAGTAATATCAAACACTAGCCCAGTCTTGCCCACCAGGTTACCCGGTGCCTGAAGGGTCACTTTTTTCTAGTGACTATGTGTATAGATGCACACCACAAGGAGCTGGCTTACTTGGACGGTTAATTTCTCTCTGGAATTTCTCTTGCTTGAAAGTCCGTGATACATTGACTTCTGCAAAGAACGTTGCTCAGTCTGTTTTGTCCATTATTGGGGATGCCGTAGCAAACTCTCCTGTTCTTAGCTTGACCTGGTGACGTGACTTTGCGTTACATCCTACTGTTCACATTTCTTCACCTGCACCCCATTGTTTGGCATCCTGGTTCTGGGTCTTGCCTGCATTTCTCTGTCCTAGGCTACAATCTCCGACACTTCCAGGCTTGGACATGAATGGAGCTGGCTCTGACAGTTATCAACTCTGTGACTTTGGGAAAGTTACTTAACATCTCCAAGCTTCAATATCTCTGTCTATGAAATTATAATAATAATACATAATTCAGAATTGTTGTGAAGATAAATGAGACTAAAGTCTGGTACCTGGACTATAGCAGCTTCTCTATACTTTACTATGAGTATTATTATTATACTTGATCATAACTTAAAAACAGATAAATACTTCTAAGGAAAAGAAAAAAATTCAACCTAAATATCACTTGCACTGAGTTGGGCAGTCTTTTTGCTGGAGATCTGGTAATAGATTCCCACCCTGATTTTCTAGATCTCTATCCTCCTTTAGTTTTCAGTGGTGGCTTCCATTTGCGCTGGGTTCCCAAAGCAGCTCATGGCAAAATCACTAGGAAATGAATTTTTCCCAGTGCCTTTCTCCTCTTTGAACATCTTCTAAGACCCTTGATGACTAGACAGTGTTAATATCTCAGTCACCTCTAGAGAAGAAGTTCTCAAAATGGGATCAGAAGATCACCTGCGTTAGAAGCACCTGTGGTGCTCAAGAGTGCAGAATACTTCCCCCCATCCCTTCACTGTCACGCCCAGCACCTACTCAATCAGAATATCTGGTAGTGGAGCCTAGAAATCTGTATTTTATATGCCCAGGTTAGGGTTGCCAGAAAAAAAGCAGCATACTTGGCTAAATCTAAATTTCAGATATACAACTAATAAGTTTTTAGTATAAGTATATCCCATACAATATTTGGAACATACTTATACTAAAAAAACTATTTTTTTTTTTTTTAATCTGAGATTTAAATTTAACTCGGCTCCTGTGTGTTTATTTGCTAAATCTGGCAAACCCTGGATGTGTACACTAAGGTTTAAGAAACTGTTCTAGCAAGATGCTCATGGCATAGTCCCACTGAGCCCTATATTAAGGCAATTATGGCACTGAAATGTTGTTTTTTAGGAAGATATTTAATGCCTTGTTGGGTTGCACAGTGTCACATTCTCTTTTCTGTCCCTGATGCCAATGTTCAGGATGAGCTGTTCTAGTCCCATGGTGTGTGCTCCCAGGAAACTGAGTTACTCACAGAGAGGACACTCTGACATTCTTTTTCTCACACGATCTAGGCCATGTCAAACCCCCACCTGATCAGAGATGAACCATGTGGAACCCTCTGGGGGTTCCCTGTATCTCTGCAGCACAAGGTTTAGCCTGAGGCAGGCTGAGCAGACTGTTCCTTGACTTCTATTCTCTAGGTAGATATGAATATCTTAGCCTTGGACCAGCCTCTCAGGCTGGACAGATGCGCACAAATATATAGGAAGTTATCCAGTCATCTGATCTATTGGCTTTTCATTCCTCTCACTAAAATGTAGAGCAACCAACATGTCAATTACTGTCTGGAGTTAAGAGGTTGCAAATTCAAACGCCTGCAGGGACTAGGCTGCTGTCATAAATAACTGAAGCAGGAAGGGTGGGGACTACGGCAAAATAATCCATAATCCAAAAAGGCAGGCCCTTCTTAGCTCCAGCTGATCCATGACTACTCCACAGGAATTTGGGCTCAGTATTTTTAAAAAACTGAAAGTCTGAATTTTTATATCAAGTCTCCTGATTTTAAAATGTTAGAAACAAAATAAAATTTTCTGTAAAGCTTGGGTAGGCCAAGCAAAATACCCCTGTGTACAATATTAGACTCTTTAGGGAGTCAGTTTTCTACTCTGTGTAAAGTATATTACATAGTGATGGATATATTGTAGGTGCTTCATTGAATTTATAAAGATGATTTCATTGTGTTTAATTTGAGCAGAATTAGAAGTCGAAACCCATATGGTCCCATGGAGAATTTAGGTTTTATGTGAACATATAAAAGTCGTTCAATTATTTATATAATAAATCTTATAAAGAACTATTAAGATGATTAAAATGATCTACTTGGGATAAGAGTACATTGAGAAGATTGGAGCTGTATTTGAACTCAGCCACTGTCTCAGAACTAAGGCTTGCCTAGTGCAATCACTGGCCTTCAGCCCATAGCCAAAACATTGATTTGTTTGAAGAATTGGAGAGACTTTGTGTAGACTTGGCTTTACTCCTTGAGAGCCACTGTATGTCCTTGAGTACACCAAAGAGGAGAGCTTGGGTTAGATGTCGCATGTAAACTTCTCACTGTGGAAGCTTACAATGACGCTTTACCATGAGATGCCAGTTAGTGAGGTGGGCAAATTACAGTCTCATTGAGCTGCCTGGAGAAAGAGGAGTGAACATATTTTTGATCCCCAGGGGGAAAAACAAAGAGTAAATGAGTTGATAAAAGCGTCAATATGCCTTGACAGGAAGTGAATGAAAAAGCAGAGTGAGGAGAAATAAGAGTTTTTCCAGCAACGTTACTGTATACGGAATAACTATTATTTAAATATCCTTAATTTCTGTAGGGGAACAGAGTGTGTGCTGCTGGTTATGGCTACTTTTTTCATCTTGTGACCAGCCAAACGTCACGAGCTCCACTTCTCTCCTTCACTGGGAATAGTGCACATTCTTGTACAAGGTAACTTTGGGGAAATTCATCTGTATTTTGGGTGTAAAGCTTATGAGTTAGCATTTTTGTGTAGAATACTTACAAAGAGGTATAATTTTTGGCATCTGAGTGAGATTTGATGATGCGCCTGGGTAAGCATTTTGGATCATAGGAGTTTGGTGGTGAAGGGAAGGGAAGGGAAGGGAGAGGGAAGTCACTTGAGAGGGCCGCAAGACAGAGTGTGCTGTCCGGAGGAGAATTCAACAGAGAGAGCAATTGAACTTCCAAGAGATTGGGAGCAACTGGTAACGCAGAGGCCCCAGGGGCTGGAGGGCTTGGGCTCAGGAGCTGAGCGGGAAGGTGAGCCTTGGAGTAGAGGTTCTTCGCCTGTGACTTGCACACTCTAGAATGAGAAGGGACTGTTCAAAGTCTTTGTTAGGTAGAGAGTAAGGAGCTAGGAGCAAGGGCAGAGGGAACAGGTGGAGTAGGAGATTTGAGGAGATGAGAAAAATATGGACTTCAGAGGTCAGTTGGGCCCTGATTCAAATCCTGACTTTATTCCTAGTAAATTGCCTTTTGTTTTTAAGAGTCAGACTCCTTATTTGTAAAACGAGGACAGATTGACATTGAAAGTTTGATGTGAAAATTAGAGATGACTTATGTGATGCACCTAAGAGAACATCAGGAATGCGGTAGTAACTCAATAATTGATAGCTATAAATAATAATGATAATAATAGTATAGTAATACTGCTATGATGGAAAGTGAGAAGGAGAGTAGAATAAGGATTAAGAACAATTGCCATGCAATGTTGAAGTGCCAACTAAGGCAGGGATTAGTACATGTGTTGTGAAATTATTATTATTATTATGAAGTTTTTACCTAGCAGCTCTCAGCAGGCCTGGAACATGGGGAAGAAGGCATCCAGAACACAGCAATGGTAGAGCATTTCAAGTAGAAGAACAAAAGTTGGAGGGATTACAGGTGCTGGTATCCACTCTCCTAGCAAGGAGTGACTCTAGAAGGGGGTTGATAGTATAGCGGGGATAATGTTCCGAAGGGCTAGATGAAGGTATCCAGACTCCTAGGATAGGGAGTCACCCTGGGGGGGCGCTGATAGAATAGAATGGGATCATGGCAATCTGCATCTTGTTGAGATCCAGGAGCAGGTCACAGAGGGTGACAGAGTGGAAATGCTGAGGGACGGGCAGTGACAGTCAGAGAGGAGGGTCACAGGTCTCATCTCCACTCTCCCTTATCCATTACCTTTACTTTTGTATTTTCCAATGAGAAAAAGTTGGTCATTTGAAACATAAAAATTGGCTAAATTTCACTCTTTGTTTTGTTTTCTAGGTATGGTCTCTTTGTATACCCTAAGTTTCAGCCACCTTGGGATAATGGTACTGGCCCCACAGTATTCCAGAACTTCACGGTTTGGGGAGGTACAGGTGGTGCTCAGGTAAGTTTCTTTAGTTTTTCCATTAAAACCATTATTTGTTTGTTCATAGTGATTAATTGTGCATCTCTATTTAAAGGGGGATGCTTTGCTGCTGGGAGGAGCATTGCAATGTTACTACTGTTTCAAGGAAGCAACAGCATCATACGCATGGGTGGAATAGTTGTTGAATGAACAACTTCCTAATCAGGAAGCTAGGGTTAGTCCATTTTCTCTAGGGTGACTTTTCAGCAGCTCTAATAGAGAACAACAGAATCATAGAGACTTACAACCAGGACGGATGGTAGAGGTCATCCATTCCTCCACGTCCATGCTTATTTAGAGATAAAATATTAAGGCTCAGACAGTAAAAGGACTTGCCAAAGGTCACACAGTTAATTAGTAGCACAACCAGGTGCAGAATGCAGACTCCAAATGTTGTGCATTTGATACCCTAATATCCTGAATAATACATACTCCAGTCTTAAGAAAAAGTGCTATTCGTCATTGGAACACAAAAATTCCAGCTCAAAGTGCCATTCTTACCTTTATCAATGAGCTGAATTTTCTTCTATTTTTCCTCAAAAGAAAAAAGTTTATGTTGAATCATTTACTTTTCATTGTCACAATGATTTTCTTATTAGGAATCTTTGCATGCTCACTGTTAACAGCAATACATAAAAATTATCCAGGGTCACTGTTTGGTTCTACACACTGAAAATTACAGACATTTGGTCTCTACCACTTAGAAATCTGGAGCCTAAGATACACTGATGAAGAAATATGTTACAGGGCATCCAAGAAATAGAATAAAAACATATAGTTAAGTCATAATAAAAAAGTCAGACATTTATTTCATATATCCACAAGAGGAAGACAATTGTGCTTGTGGAAAGCCTCCAAATATATAATTAGTTTAGCTAACAGGAAGAATTACAATTGTGTTTAATATTTTGTTCTCATTTAATTTTATAAAGTATTTTATTTCCCATAAGCACTATGATTGTAGGGGTGACAAATCCCCTAGGAACGTTTGTAGAGTGCCCTCGTGTGCAGAGAAGCAATTCATGCCTTGCAGAGACTTAAACTCTGTCTTCATGCTCTTGAACAGCCTTGTTCTAGAGAAAGTAACTGAATAAAGCAAAAATATTAAAAGATAATCATTAAAGTCAGTTTTCTCAAGTTCTGTAATCGGAAATGCTAAGCCCATAAAGAAGAAATAGATCCTTAAAGATTGAACTCTTGTTCGTTCAAATTTAATGAATCAAAAAGTTCAAATAATGAGAATGCTCTTGGAACTTCACTTTTATGAGGAGAGTAAAGGAGAGTAATTAACACGATAGCAGGGAATTTAAAAAGTAACTTCCCCCAAAACAATCCTGAAAAAAAGAATAAAGTAAAAGGACTTATACTTCCTTATATCAAAATGTACTACAGGGCCGGTCCCGTGGCTTAGCGGTTAAGTGAGCGCACTCCGCTACTGGCGGAGGAAGAAAAAAGGAGGAGGATTGGCAATAGATGTTAGCTCAGAGCCGGTCTTCCTCAGCAAAAAGAGGAGGATTAGCATGGATGTTAGCTCAGGGCTGATATTCCTCACAAAAAAAAATATATATATACTACAAGGCAATAGTAATCAAGGCAGTGTGATATGTGCACAAGGATGGACATATAGATCAGTGGAATAGAAATGAGAGTCCAGAAGTAAACCCACATGTCTATGGTCAACTGATTTTTTTTTTTCCCCCAAAGCCCCAGTAGATAGTTGTATGTCATAGCTGCACATCCTTCTAGTTGCTGTATGTGGGACACGGCCTCAGCATGGCCGGAGAAGCAGTGCGTCGGTGCGCACCCGGGATCTGAACCCGGGCCGCCAGCAGCGGAGCGCATGCACTTAACCGCTAAGCCACGGGGCCGGCCCAATGGTCAACTGATTTTTGACAAGGATGCCAAGACTATTCAATGGGGAAATAATTGTCTTCTCAACAAATGGTGTGGGAACAACTAGATAACCACATGCAAAAGGATGAAGTTGGATCCTTTCCTCATACTGTTTACAAAAATTAACTCAAAGTGGATCAAAAGCCTAAACGTTAGAGCAAAACTATAAAACTCTTAGAAGAAAATTAAAAGGTAAATCTTCATGACTTTGGATTTAGCAAAGGATCCTTAGATATAACACCAAAAGAATAAGCAACAAAAGAAAAATAGATGTTAGACTTTATCAAAATTAAACTTTTTTTTCTCTCTCTATTTTTTTTTCTTTGCTGAGGAAGATTCACCATGAGCTAATATCTGTGCCAATCTTCCTCTATTTTGTATGTGGGTCACCACCACAGGATGGGTGACAAATGGTGTAGGTCTGAGCCGGGAATCCAAACCTACGAACCTGGGCTGCCAAAGTGGAGCGTGTTGAACTTAAACACTACGCCACGGGACCGGCCCTAAAATTAAAAATTTTAATGTTTCAAAGGATCCAATCAAGAAAGTGAAAACACAACCCATAGAATGGGAGACAATATTTGCAAATCACATATCTGATAAGGGAATTGTATCTAGAATACACAAAGAACTCTTACAACTCAACAATAAAAAGACACATAACCCAATTAAAAACAGAGTAAAAGATCTGAATAGACATTTCTCCAAAGAAGAAACACAAATCATTAATGAGCATATGAAAAGTTGTTCAACATAGTTATTAGAGAAATGCAAATCAAAACCACAGCGAGATACTGCTTCACACCCAATAGATGGCTAGAATCGAAATGATAACAAATGTTGATTGGCAAAGATGTGGAAAGATTGGAGCTCTCATATACTGCTGGAGGGAGTTTAAAACAGTCTATATGCTTCAGAATAAAGTCCAGCAGTTCCTCAAATGATTAAACATAAAGATACCAGATGATTCATCAATTCTACTCCTAGGTATATATCCAAGAGAAATAAAAACAAATATCCACATAGAAACTTATACACAAATGTTTATAGCAGCATTTTCATAATAGCCAAAAGATAGAAACAACCCCCAAATCCACCAATGGATGAATGGATAAATATAGTGTGGTATATCAATACAATGGAATATTATTCAGCCATAAAAAGGAATGCAGTGCTGATCCATGCTACGACATGGATAAATCTTGAAAACATTATGCTAAGTAAAAGAAGCCAGTCACAAAAGGCCATACTATATGATTCTAGTCATATGCAAGTCCAAAGTATGGCAATCTGTGGAGATGGAAAGAACATTAGTGGCTGCTTGGGGCTAAAGGATATGGGGTTTCTTCTTGAAGTGAAAATGTTTTAAAATTGACTGTGGTTATGGATGCACATATCTATGAATATCCTAAAACCTTTCAATTGTAAGCTCTAAGTAGATGAATTGTGTAGTATGTGAATTATATCTTAATAAAGCTGTTAAAAAAAAGTACCCTCCTATGTATATAGCCATGTAAACTCTCAAATGTTCCCAATTCCTATCTGTGTGACTTTGGGCAAATCTCTTAATTTTTCCCATCTTATTTGTAAAATAGAAATACTCATAGTACCTGAAGGTAAGTTTGTTTTGAGAGTAAGTGCCTGCCTGTGAAGTGCCCAGAAGAGTGCCTGGATCTTCGTGGATATGCAGTAACAGCTGTTACTATTATCATTGTTAGTAGACAGGATGGGTGCTGATAGACTGATGTTGATAGTAACATCTCTGGAAATTGTAACATTGAGAAACGCCTTCTGCATCATCAAAAAGTACATTGTGTTTACCTTTCATAAACTTTCACTATTAGATATATCTGACTGTATGCTGGTCATTAGACAGAAGTGTCATGTACATAGATCCTTGAACAGAATATCCCATTAGGCAAAATTCCTATTGTGTGTAAACATAAGTTTATATCTATTTGATGATATTGATAGCTAATATTTTTAGGTATTTTATCATTTAATCATCTTAATAACCTTTGGGGGAGGTGTACCATTATTATCCTCATTTTGTAGCTAAGAAAACTCTCTGGATAGTGGGTAAAATACTTGCTAAAGTCACACAGCTAAGAATTGGTGGATTCCTACTCAGGCAATCTGACGCTTTTACATGTATGTTAATAAGAGTTGAGGAAAATACCCTCTCCTCACCATGTCTCATAAATGCAGAGCAATCCTTTTAGAAGAGGGAAGGATGACAGCGCATTATGAAAGCTGTATTCACATGACAAATAGGTGATTTTTGCTATTGTGTGTTAGTTTCCTTTTAAAATTACCAGGTTCCCCAGCTAATGCCAGATGTTAGCTGTTTGTGAATATGAGTATATTTGCCAAAACTTGGGCTGATGCTTGTAATTAGTTAACAAGTGTTGTCAAGTTATCAGTTCAGATCATACCTAATTCGTTTAAATAAACCTTTGTGTCTTCAAAGATCTATCATTTTATAAAAGCTGTTAGTGCATACATAGTAGGAAATGCAAGTCATTCAGTTCTTGAAAATTCAAGCACAAAAACTGATTGACAGATGGAAGCACGATACTATGATAAATCACGGCTAACTTGGTCTTAATTAATAGTAAACTTCCACTTTAAGATATGAATGTAAACGTGAACCTATTAAATGAATAAAGGAATGACTGTGTTAGGTTAACTGCTAGTCATGACTTCCACCCTGATTTTAAAGTTGGTTGAACTGAGGCCTAGGAGAAGTTAAATATCTGGCCCCAGATCACATAGTCAGTTAATGTCAGTGCTAGGTAAAAACCAAGGGCTCTGTCCTCAAACTGGTGGGATGCTTTCAACTCTTAACAAGCTGATTTTGTTAATATTTGATCCCTGTTTGGGCCCACTAACCAAGTTGTCATAAATATTTATGCACATAACATATTTTGAGTTTGTAGTCATGCTAAATTACTTGCTTGTTTCATATTTGCAATTTTCTGACAATATTAGTTAACATATACTACACTGAGGAAAATGTTAAGTACTTGGATGCTCTGGCATTCTTGGATGCTCTGTTTTTCTCCATTAATTTTGTGTGATTCGGCAACTACAAATTGATTTTAGATGTGTGAGGGATTCACACTGACCTTTTTAATGTATCTGTTATTACGAGGAGACATGAAAAGTACAGAGGGGATGTTACCAAAGGGGCCTAGTTAGTGCTGACCTCACGGCAACTTTGGGAAGTCTGTACAGATACTGATGGACAAAAGCTGCTTAAATATGGTATAGCATGCTTATTTATACTTAATCAATAATTAAAGAAGATACGGGAAGTCTGCAAGAAAAACCAAGCCTCAGACCTTTGCCATAACATATGCTGTTATTTTATAGATTTTTAGAAGTAGCAATCTTCTCCTGAAAAATTTCCAAGTTTATTCATGCAGAGATTTTGGAATTGACATCTTGGAAAGTGATGCAAACACTTCAGTTGCTGACAGCTTATTACTTGGTCATTTTGCCCACAAGGTAAGTGCCTTAGTTTGGTTGTTTTAGGCTGTCCATCAAAACAGAATCATACGTACTGGGCTCCCTGGTGATCCAGGATATGTAATTTTAATAGTATTCTTTAGTGAATCTTGCATTTAATTGGTAAAAGTTGGAGGAGCTTTTTATTTGTAACAGTGGTAATATTTATAATAAAATTCAAATAGACACAAAGTTTCAATGTTATGAGTCCGTATAAGTCATAAAAGTCATGTGTAGCTTGCAGAATTCTTATCTGGTTGCAATTTAGCATTGTTATCCATACCAATTCAATAATAAACCTAATAACTTTAGGTTAATTTACTCTAACCTCCCAAGGATTATGGACTAGAACTATTCTATGTCTGTCTGCATTGTAGTTTGCCAAGTTTCTACATCAACATTTTGTTCATAGGGTTCTTACTCTGTTTACGGGGCCACCCCTCCCCTAAAAGAGGTGATATAAATTTATATTGTTTACTATAGTATACTAGGGTTTCTTAGGTGATTCTCTAATGCTTGCCGAAGCGTGGTTTCTACACGATAAACATCAGACTGTAGATGACTTCTCTGCCACTACATGGCCAGAGTCCCAGAATGTAGACTAGGCAAAGAGGACTTCCCAGATGACAAGTACTAGTTCTCCTTAAGGGAAGTCCACAGCTGCCGTTGGTCTCAGTAGGCTTCAGACCTACAATGGGTCTTCCAAGTTCTTGTTTTTAAAAGAGTTATATACATCTTAGTATCACATTGTCATAACAATCATAGATGGAAGAGACCTACAGTACTTCTAGGAACTAAGGAAAGAGCATTCTCTTTAGTTTGTTCCTGAATGCTTTGGCCAACTGAAATTTAAATAATTATTGACTTTTGAACTTCCCTTGAGATTATTTCATAGCTATAGATATAAATACTGAGATTAAAAATCATCTTCTTACTAAACTGCATTTTCCTATGTTTAATTCTCAAACTTAGTTAAATCTCTTTTGAACCATCCTTTTCAGGAGGGAAATACCTGTCAGCTTTTCCTTTTCTCTGAGAGGATTACCACCTTGAGAGACGATTCTTCTTTTTAGACTGCATAGTTTTCAAGAGAGGATGGGACCCAGATTTAGATTCTGTGATACTGGGAGATCCAAGGCCCTTAAATTTCCCAGAAATACCCTTAGAGAAGATGCTAAAAACAAAACACCCAACAAGCTGAGTGACTAACTGTCCTGGTAAATTAATGTCACATCATCTTAATTGATGCCAAATAGACATCATAATTAACAGGAGAGTGACATAAATTAAGATATAAATTATGACAAAAGGGTGCTGATCATGAGATAATAAAAAATAATCACACCCCTGGGGTGTGATTCACCAGGAATGCAATGCCTCTGAGAGTCTCTCAGTCTCTTAATAAGTAAGTACAGGACAAAAGTCCCTGGATGGAAAATGTCAAACAGTTTGTTCTAGGAGAGATCTAGATCCTGGTTAGGCTTCATAAAACCACGCAATTTTAGAGCTAAATATTACCTAAGAGTTGATATGGTTATAACTCCTGAATTTACAGGTAAAGAAATGGAGGCTGTGGGAAGTCAAGTGATAGTTCGAGATTCATGCCTGTATTGTGGAGCGAGGGCCACTGGACATCCTCCCTGTCCTGCTCAAACACTCTTTTAATTACACAGGAAAAATAGCTTTGGCAATGAGCATTTATTAGTGCTGACTCCAAAATTCCCTGAAGTGTTTTCCATGGAAGGCTAGCCCCAAGAGAAGGTCTGGGAAAGGAAGATTCTTTGGTTAATTACATTTAGGGTATGCTGTTTACCATATCTCCCATCCCCTGAAATTCGCATTATATATTAACAGCTTAAAGGCTCTGGGAAATCCGAGAGTTAAAACAAACAAGAAAAATATCTCTGAATCTTTATTTCACACAATATTTCCCAGATTTATTTGGGAACCACTTTATTGCCATATGAAACTGTGTGTCAGTTGTTAAAAAAAAAAGAGGATGCCTGACCTCTCTGCAGTTGTGGAACTCAATGATTTTAGTCCCTATCTTTCGTACCTGCTAGTGCTTTACGAATTAAGATTTTCAGAGATTTTGTCCTATCTGTGCTTAGACCTTCCACCCATACGTAAATTGTGGCACACAATTATCAGTGAGTCATATCCTAAAACAAACACTAGTTTCTGGAGGAACTTTTTATTAGAAATGGATGTTTTTTTTCCTTTAAGCGTACTTTTGTATGTAGGCACTCTCACACCCAACATTATCTTTGTGTTGAAATGGGTAGAATAATTTTCAGTGAGGATGGCTTTCATATACAAAAAAAGAGATGTGCCGTGCCATCACCATACATCCTGGTTTGGTTGTGTTGTTTTTTACACCCATTGTTCTAACATTCTATCTAAAGAACATCCCCTTTCACACTCTCAAAATGCCCTGATTTGGATGTAAATTATGGTCACTCTACTTTTGGAAGTATCTGTAGGATGGTTGTCTTTTCGTTGTTTTTGTAATTAATTTGAGCAGATGATACTTTAAAAAATATCTTAGACGGACACTGATGGAGTTGCTTCCTTCTTCCTCCTATTTCTCTCAGTGTTACTTCCTATTTTCACTTGTGGATTTGTCTTCCTCAATTTAGACCTTTCATCTTTTGTGTCTCTAAATTCTGTTGTAGAGCCCCTGCTCTTCTCAATATACTTGCTCTCCCTGGGAGAAATCTCATTTTCTCTAGTGGTTTCAATTACCATCCACATGCTGGTGTCTCCCGTATATTTGCATTTATTTCTACCATCGTATTTTGAGTTTTCAGTTTGCAATCAGTTTTCTTTGTTTGTTTTTTTCTATTTTCCAAACTTGATTTGTGTTGCATTGAATAGTATCTTTTTTATATTTACTCATTTGGAAGTTGTTCATTCTGTTATGATTATTTTAGTTATGGGACTGAACTTTTTTTTAACACATCTGCTTGTCTTAACGAAATGTAAATTACATCAGCACTGTTAAACTACACCTGAGCATTGCAAGGACCTTAAACTCTTTTAACTTCTTTTTTCACCCTCCCATGTTGTATGTTACTTTGCTCTAGTATTTGTTCCACTTTTTAAAATAAATGTTTCATGGAAATATAACATTTATGGAGAAAAGTGCACAAATCACAAATAAAGAGCTCAGTGGATTTTTATAAAGCAAAAAGACATGTCCATACCACCCAGCTCAAGAAATAAAAGGTGACCAGCTCCTCTGAGGCCCCTTCATGCCTCCTCCCTTTCAATTTCAACCCCCAGCCCCTCAGCCAAAGGGGAACCATTATTCAGACTTCTATCAACATAGATTAATTTCAAATCTGTTTCTGAACTTTTTATAAATGGAATCATAGAGCATGTAACTTTTGTGCCTGGCTTCTTTGGCAGAACATTATGTCCCTGAGATTCATCCATGTTTTTATATGTTGCAATAATTTATTCTTTCAATTGTTATGTAGTATTCCATTTTATGATAGTACCACAGTTTTTTAAAATTGTGTTGCTATTAATGGACATTTGATTGTTTCCAGTCTTGGGTTATTACAAATACTGATGTTATGAACATTCTTCTATATGTCTCTTGGTGTTCATGTACATGCATTTCTGTTGAATATATGCCAAGTTGTAAAACTGCTGGTTCAGAGAATATCCCTTTAGCTTTAGTGGATAATGCCAAACAACAATCCTGAGTGTGTACCCTTGCACCCACAGTGTGAGAGAAGGGTTTCGTGTCCTGGAGATTTCCTTCATGTCTCCCTAGTGTTGGAATTCGTTCTCCTGATTCCCACATCTTCCTCCTTTCTGATTTAATTCCTCATTTTATTAGAGCGTAGGCTAGAGTAACTTGCTTACCAAAATGGGGGTCTATGGAAGGTAAAGATTTTGAGCTACAAATGGAGACTCCCTTATTGATAGGTTGTTGGTTATAGAACACCGGGTTGGAGTTCATTTTGCCTTGACATTTTGAAGGCAATACTCCGTTGTCTTCTAGATTCTAATCTTGAGGTTGAATAGTTTTTTAAGATCCTCTGATTCTAGGTCTTTTATATGTAACCTTGTAGTTTTTCCTCTTTGGAAGTTTTTAGGATGTTGTCTTTCTCCCTGGAGTTTTGTAACTTCTATATGAGGTACCTTGGTGTAGCTTTTTGTTCTATCCACTATGTTAGGCACTGGGTGGGTCTTTTCAGGCTGGAAAATCATATCCTTCCCTTCTGGAAAGTTTTCCTCAGTTATTTCTTTGATAATTCTCTCCTCTATATTTTCCTTTTCTTTTTGTGAAACAATTTTTATTTGGATATTGGACCTGCTGGATTGCTTTTCTAATTTTCTTAATTTTCTCTCCGATTTTCCAACTGCCTTTTTATTCTACTTTCTAGGATATTTTCTCAATTTTTCTTTCGAATTTATTATTTCTGCTCTCCTGTTTTTGTTCTTTTTTCTTTTCTGAAAAATCCCTTTTTAATCTTCTTCTTGTTTCATGGGTATAATATATTTATTTCTCTGAGGTTATTAATGATAGTGTCTAAATTTTCTTCTGATTTCTATACTGGCTTTGTCTTCACTGGGTTTCTTTTCTTCTTTTGTTTCTTTTATCACTATCTTTCTTATTAGAGGCCCCTGACAAATTTCTAGTGATCCTCAGATGTACAATTATTTTTAACAGTGGAACTGTGAGGTACTAGCAACTTAATTAGACGGAATTTGTTGAAGAGATTTTGTGGAATATCCTAGAAGCAGTTTTTGTTTCTTTTTAGATGTTTTAATATTTATTTTTTATATTAACATAACAAATACTGACTTTTTGATGTACATTTTTGTGAATTTTAACATATGCATAGATTTGTGTAGCCACCACCACTTCAGTGAAGATACAGAACAGTTGCATCAACCCAAAAGAGCAACTTCGGTCTCCATCTTCGTAGCCACATCCTCCTCTCACATCTAACCCCAGGGGATCACTAATCTATTCTCTGTCACTATAGTTTTGTCTTTTCAACAATGGAATCAGATAGTATGTAATCTTTTGAGACTGACGTCTTTCATTCCCAAATGCTTTTGGGATTCATCTAACTTGTTTCAAGAAACAGTATTTTATTCCTTATTATCGTTGGGTAGTATTCCACTGTATGGAAACTCCCTATGTTTATCCATTCCTTTGTGGAAGGACATTTGAGTTGTTTCAGATTTGGTGATTGCGAATGGAACTATTATAACCATTTGCATTAGGTTTTATATGAACATAAGTTTTCATTTCTCTAAGGTAAATACCTAGGAGTTGAATTGCTAGGTCAAATGATAAGAATATGTTTAACTTTATAAGAAACTGCCAAACTGTTTTCCACAGTGGCTGTACCATTTTCCATTCCCACTAGCAATGGTAGGAGAGTTTCAGTTGTTCGTTACCCTCACCAGCATTGGTATCATCAGTATTTGTTATTTAATCATTCTAATAGGTGTGTAGTATACCGTATTGTGTCCTTTGTCATATATGTGATTTGCAACTATTTTCTCCCAGTCCGTAGCTTGTCTTTTTATTCTTTTGTTTTCATTCGTATGTTATAAATTGTATTTCATGTGGCCAGTCCTCTTATTTTTCGTTCCTTTTTTATTCTTTTCTAAATCACAGGGAAGCCTGTGTATGTCAGCTGGGATCAAAACTCCCAAAAGATGGGAACTGACAGTATCTAACACAACCTTTGTTAACTTTGATCTCACTGACTGTGTGGCCATCAGGACCTGTTCGGGCTGTTCCCCAGGACAGGGTAAGTAGTTTGAATAGATAAGACAGACAGTAAGTAAAGACAATACTCAAGTAAATATGATAAATAGTGGCAAAGCTGTTGTGATTCATTATTTCTTTTAGTTATAAGATTGCATCAGTAGAAACTGCTGCTCAAATCTCCTGAAAGAAATCCTAGAGGAGGCCGGGGGCTCCCAATGAGGCTCCTGCAGCTCCTCGTTCTTATGACGCCTCTCACACTCTATCATATGGTGCTGCATCTCTGCTGGACTGTGAGCTTCATAAAGGCAGGGATTATATCTCTTTTGCTCAGTTTGTCATTAATATCTAGTAGCCTGGTACCTGGTCGGTTCCTGGATTATATTAATGAATGGAGTTGGATGAGTAGACATATGGATATAAATTAACACACGTGTAATCTTTCCTGAAAGAGCCAGAGTTTAGGTATTTTAAGTTTTCAAAAGCCTAAAGCTTGTTGTATACACAAAGAGAACCCTAGGAATTCTTGCTCACTTGTTAACCACATCTCAGAGGTGGTGAGAAGTACCTTAGAGGACTCATGGGCCAAGGTGAAAAGAAGCAGAGAGCAATCTAGTTGATTTGATCATTGTAAACAAACAAACCAAATAACTCAAGTAAATAAGCTCTTGTGGTTTGAATCACCAATTTAGATAATTGTTTGTTTTTTTAATTAAATGAATAATCAGCAAGTCTCCACTTTCCTTTTTTTTTCCCTATATAGACAGAGCCAGAGATTGTTTTTATTTGGGTGGCATCTGAATTTAAGACTGTATAAATAATAATAGGAATAAAAACTGCCTTATGGAAATCACTTAAAATCACAATTCCTCAGTTCTTTAATAGCTTCACTGTTTCAAATCATTCATAAGACACCGAAAAAAAGCACATTATTCCTTATGAGCTCTAATCTCTTCTCACTGGATGATGTTGGCTAAGCTATATCTTTCATTTGTTTAAAAACTGTCTATTCCAGATTCTGTTTAAGGAACTGGGTTGGGGGGGTTACAAAGATGAAAAACACATAGTTCTTGTCTTCCAGGAGCTCTCGATCTAGGCACAAAAATAAATGTCTAAGCCATTGTAATAGAGTGTGATGAGTACACTAGTAGAGGATTGAATGAGGTGAGATAAGAGAGAAAGGAAGGGGTTCAGGTAAGATTTCATAGAGGTGACTTGAGCAGGGTTTGGAAAGGTGAGTAGAAACTTGCAAGGAGGAATAGGCAGGGAAAAGTTTCTAGGTATTGGGAACAGCACATGCAAAAAATAGAAATTCCAAACAACAAGTTATGCTTGGGGAATTACGAAGAAGTCCAATATGACTGCATCGTAGAGCTGCAGGTGGCTGTGGTATTAGACGGCCTAGAGAAGTTGCAAGAGGTGGAATCATGGAGTCTTAAATGCACGACTTAATTCACTGCATGAACTCTACTGGGATGCAGAATGAAAACATTAGGACCTCTATTTGTTTGTATCTTATTTTTTTATTTTCCTTTTTGTGTATTCTATAATGTACATAATACAGTAGCATATATACTGAGAGATGTGTACTGAATTTTTAAATTTTAATGACGAGGGGTGGGTATTAGAAGACCTGGGCAGGTGGACTAGCAGCAGTACCGATGAATCACTTGGAGGTGGCGTGAGGGAAAGACTGCTGAGAAGTGTGGCCCGAGAGTTAATACTTAAAAAGTGTCTTACTATTACTATTTGCCCACATGATTGATTGAATATTGCTTTTGAGGGTAAATGTTTAAAGTATAAATCTCATAAGAGATGGGGTTAGACTCATGTAAAAGAACTAGAGCAGAAAGATTGCAAGACCAACCCACAGGACCTTTAGTATTTAGGGATTAGTAAATTGGTGTTCTGAGTCTCTATTTCCTGTTAGACAAGTTTCTCACCCTTGGCACTATTGGCATCTTGGGCTGGGTAATTTTTTGTTGTGGGGACTGTCCTGTGCATCGTAGAATCTCTAGCAGTATCCCTGCCTCTACCCACCAGATGCCAATAGCCCTGCCATCCACCTGGTTGTGACAGTCAAAAATGATTCCAAGTGGTGCCAATGTCCCCTGGGGGGCAAAACCACCCCTGGCTGAGAATCACTGCCCTAGAATACAGGCTGCACGAAGACAGTGCCAATACTGCTCTTCTTTTCCTCTGCATCTGCAGCACATACCGCAGAGCCTGGCATGCAGTAAACACTCATGATATTTTTTTTCTTGAATAAATGACTTAATTGTAAAAGTGTATAAATATGCAATTTAAAGTACTGAACATTTCCCATGAATTCAGCTGCCATTTGTTATGATAGTCTTCTGTACTATCGTGTAACAGTCTTTTTGTCTTCCAATTTGTAGGTGGATTTACTGTGAAGACCAGTCAGTTGAAGTTTAGAAACTCTCCAAACTTAGTAGTATTTCCATTTCCTCATGCAGCAGTTTTGGAAGACTTGGATGGGTCTCTGTCTGGGAAAAATAGAAGTCACATTCTTGCTGCCATGGAAACACTTTCAGCTTCTTGTTGGGTCAATACCAGCTTTGGTCAGGTTGTCCCTGGCAGCGTCTGTGGGGAAGATGTTCTCTTTCATCGCATGTCTATTGGTTTGTAAGTTGAATTAATTTCACATTTTCGCTTGCCAACGTGTGTGCATACATCATTCAGACTGTTGATGTTTTTAGAAGGGAAATTGTTTTCTAGATTCTAATTAAGTTCTACAAAAGTGATGTGGGAATAATTTTGACAGCTGTCAAATCACAAGTTTATGATAGTTTTAGGCTGATTCAAATGGCAGTTAACTCTCAATATCAGTAGATCAGAGCTCATAGCCCTTGACCTCTTACTGACATTTTGAGCTAGTAGCTTCCTCTTGAAAAGACTTGCAACCAACAGAGAATTTGAAATGTATTTAAAATAAAAGTATTATTAAAAAATTCCAGTAATGTCCCTTCTCATTTATATACATGTACTCTCCCCAAGCTCTTTTTAAGTGTTCAGTATTCTCCAGGGAAGCAATTGCTGATGCCTTCCTATTAGTTGCAAAGTTGCTTCTCTCCAGTTCATTTTCCTTGTTAATTTCATGAACTATTGGATTCGTACAATACATTTCCTATTAATATTGGAGCAAGGACTCCTTGGTTATGCTACTCGAACTACCGTTAAGTCAGCAGCTGGGCTGTTTATAATGCATAATAGGATTGCTTCTGCTCTCTTTAATTTCCAGGTAATGATTGCTGAGTGGCTAGGGTTCTATCTTTTACCTATTTCAAATGCATTGTGTATATTTAGCCACACTTCTTTCCTTCCTTTGTTTTAAGTGTCCTGACTGCAAGAATATTAAGTCAAATGATTCAGCCAGACCATGCTGGCTTATTTAAACAGGTAAACTCCAGAGAGTGAGTCAGTGTGGTTAGGATTGCAGTAAGTCTGCATTTTGAATGCATATGGAATCAGTATCTTGACATTCTGTTTTAGAAGGCTTACTAATACACCACTAGCATTGAATAGTCTAAAAATTTTCCACTGTTGCTTTCCAAGATTGTTTATTATTCTATCTAATGTTAACGGGCTCAATTCCAGTGAGTAACATGGCAACGTGGAGGGATATATTTTCATTTCTAATCATTTTGATTGTGCCAAGCATGATTTTTTTTTTTTCATTCTCAGGAATGCATCCTAATTTTTATTGTTATTTTAGTGATTTTACCAATGATGTTTTAATGAGTGTTTTGAGATTTACCAAAGTCAGTGATTTATTTCTTATATGAATTTTTTTAAATGAGGAAAATTAAAGCAAATTTGTGTAGTTAAAAAGAACATTAAGTGCTTATATGATATTTATTTCTCTGTGTTTTTAATACTCCTTTTTTGTGCCTTACTTTGAGACCTACTGGGAGACCATCTCTTAGAGGCACATAGCAATGTGGTGTTAGAAGACTCTGCAGAAGGGATCCTGTCTGATCAACTGTTCTTTGAGATCTTTGGGACAGGATAGTTAGGTGCTTACTTTGGCAGGAGGTCACAATCCCGGCACTCAGGGACTGATAAGGTCAATAATCCTGATACAATAGTCTCAGTAGTTTCTAAAGTCTCCACTAGGGTGGAAAACTTGTCTTGGTTTATCTGGAATTTTCCTGGTTTTAAAATATAAAATCTCATGTCCCAGAAACTCTTCAGTCTTCAGAAAACCAGGATAGTTGGTCACCCTACTTCCTAGGCTTCTATTTAAAAATTTTCAGGTTGACCCATAGGTCTGTGGACAAATGCCCAACTAACCCAAATTAGCCCCAGGGAAGTCTCAGCACACTCCCAATTATAAGTTTCTTGGCCCCAATGTCCTCACCTGAAGGATAAGGTGATAGGATGAGATGATCTCCAAGGCCTCACTGGTCAAAGTGCATCAGCATCACCTGGGAGCTTGTTGGACCTGGGGACTCAGGCTCCACCACAGACATCCTGAATCAGAATCCCTGGGTGATCTATGGTCAAATTTTAGAAGCACTGCTCTGAGGTCCTTCTAACTTTATCTTTCTATGATTCTATCCCTAGCTATTTGTGCTCAGTGACTTGATCTTTGTCCCAGAGCATTATAACCTCATTAGGAACATGTCAGAGCTAATGAGCAATTTGAATTCGGCATAGATACAAACTTTACTGCATTTCATGGAGAAAGGATTAATTTGTTGTGCTGTTTGCCCTGGAGCAAGCCCCCTAAGAGTTGATTTACAAAGCTCTCACAGTCATGGTCTTTTGGGGTTGCATGTTGATGGAGATCTGAAATGGCACAGGCACCCTGCTGTTCTCACTTACTCCCCTCCCTCAGCACGGGGTCTCCAGAGGGCAGGGCGTGAAGGCTTACATAGCTGCATAAACAAGGCACCCCTTCCCTGTTTGCTAACAACCAAGTGGTTGGAGTGTAATGTCTTCCGTGGAGGGCCCTCTCTCTGGTCCATTTTCACTGTAAGTTCTCTGTTTGGCGCCCTGTCCCTCACTACCTTGTGTAAGTCTGATGGGTGCCCACGTTGGTAACATGTCCTGTTTTACAGCTTCCTCTGCCTCAGCCTTAGCAGTTGGGTCGACAGAGGTATATAAATATTTGAAGTTGGCGATCATGTTTAATATTTAGGTGAAGAAAAAATTCGCACGCTCTACAAGACAGAGTCTACTTTATCTTTTGTTAAAATGACCACGTGCTTGATCTGCATGAGTGCTGCTTATATTATTCTCTCTCTCACTCACTAGTTCTAAAAACATGCTCTTTTTAGGAGCCACAGGTATTCTGGATAGTGTTCCTTTCCTAGCTTCTGTTTCTACTGATCTCATTCTCCCAACCCCATCCTTCCTGATAAGACGGGGGTGGTCGTAGCCCTACTAATGTAACTCAGGGCCTCATTTCAGAAAAATGCCCGTGACCCTTTTCTCCAGAGGTCTCATAATGATGACATGCCTCACATGGTTCTTGGATTTATCGATCCCCAAACTTCTTCTGTTTTCTTCTGTATAGAGGTGATTACATGGAATAAGGATAATGTTACCCATAGACTTTTATGTGCTCCTTCTAGATCTCCTTTTTAAGCTCTTCTCCTTGTCCCTTAAAGGCTAGTGTTCCTTAGGGTTCTGTGAGGAGCTTTTCTTTCGTCTCAAGTCATACTCTTCCCAAGTGATCTCGATTATTTCACGGCCTCAGTTAACATTCACTGATGATTCCAGATTTTTTTCCTCCAGTCTACACTGCTCTACTGAACTCTGGACCCATTTATCCAACTGATCTTAGGATCTGCACTGTCCACTATTGTAGCCACTAGCCATACATGGCTACTAAACACTTGAAATGTGGTTCATCCAAATTGAGATGTGCTGTAAGTGTAAATTATACACCATATTTGTAAAACTTCACATAAAAAAGAATGTAAAATATCTCAATGATTTGTCTATATTGATTATGTTGAAATGGTAATATTTTTGATATATTATGTTTAATATATTATTAAAATTAATTTCACCTGTTTCTTTTCATGCTGGCTTGCCTTTATGGCTTGCATTGTATTTCTATTGAGCAGAAATGCTTCCAGTATTTCCACTAGAGTATTTAATAGCCATCTCAAACTCAACTTGTCAAAACTGAACTTATAGTCTTTGTCCATATATCTGTTCCTCCCTGCGTGTTCAGAATCCCTAGATGTTCAGGCAAATGCCTCGGTTATCTAAACCAGAAACATAGAGTCATCCTTGACTCATCTTCTTATCTTATTTCTCACATAAATCACCTAGAAAGTCTAGTCCATTTTATCTCCTTAAAAAATTCCTCTTGAGTCTTTCTACTTCTCTCCCTCCCAGCTTCCCGTCTCTAGTCCAGGCCATCGTTACCTCTCACCTGTATAACCACAACAGCCTCTTAGCTTGCGGCCTTGCTGTGCTCCCCTCCTTAAACTTTGTAAATGCAGATCTAGTCTTGCCATTCATTCATTCCCTTGCCTGAAACTTTAGTGGCTTCCCAGTGCCTTCTAAAGAAAGTCCAACATCCTTAATGTCTCATGGGCCCTTCATGACCTGCTCCTTATTTATAGTTCAGCATCATCTCTCAGCACTCTGCCCTCCCTTCCCTGCATTTTATGCCGCAGCCACACTCAACTTCTTTGTGCTTTCCAATTCATAAGGTTCAGCTTCCATGAACTCAGCATGAAGGTCATTTTCTCTGGCAAGCTTCCCTGAGCTTCCTGCACAGGTTTTGGTATCCCTGCTGTGTGCTGGCTCTCTATACTTGCTCTAACCAATGCTCATAGCTCCTGCATAGCTTGATAAATTGTCCCTCTCCTCTCATAGATAGTAAATAGGATGGGAATAGTGTTTTTGTGTGTATTTGTTTGTATTATAGTGCTCAATACCATGCTGAACACATAGTAACTCAATAAGATTAGTATTGAATAAATGGATATAAATAAAAAAATTGTAGACTCTCCAAATCTTCCTCTAGTGTCCGTATTGTCCGTTTCTCTTAGGATATGCTTATGAGGAGTCCATGGCCCTCAACTTTTCTTCAGAAGACAAGAATTAAAATACTATCCTCAGTCTTTGTTTCTAAAATTCCCCGGAACATCTAATACTTAAGAATTTCCTTTCATAATGTTTTCTGGGCTTTGCTTTCCTGGAGCTATCAGTTGACCCGATGATTTACTTTAACAGCTGATCCCTTCTCCACTCTGCCCCTATCCCACCCCCACTAAGTCAGTAGTTCGCCTACATTTGCAGTTGTCTTCTTGCTCTGGTGGTATGGATGCATAGAACTGTGATGGGGAGAATGAAAACTCAACCCTTACATCTGTCATCTGGGAATTATTATTATTATTTTTTGGTCTAGAGCACTCTAGAGCTCCTTCAGTTGTCATAGACTTATTCAGATAACAATAAATCAAACCTCGATGTGTCTTCCAATTATTGACTCGATTGACAGAAGGGGAAATTAAAAGAGTTTATAAGATGTTGTAGGTTGGCCAACCAGTCCTTCTAAGTTTTTATAGGATGTACATAAAATAAGTCAGGACATACACATATATTTGTAATTATTTTTCAAAGACTGAAGAATAGAGAATTAATTAAGAATCATTTGT